CTATGAGGTAGCTAAGACCCCCAACTCGGTCGGCGGTACCCATATGCAGTATATACGATAATATTTTCGCTTTAATTTAGACTACTATTATTTTTTTCACCTAATTGTAGCTAATAGGAATAGTGTTGGCTAGAAAAGAGAAAAAACATCTGTCACAATTTGTTCAACTTGCTCCTCAAGCTTTCCTTTAAATTGTATGTATTCCTGCTACGGGACTGAGTGACAATTCCAAATTTTTAATCCTAAATTTTTAGTCATCAATTACTTCACCATTTAAGTCATACGTAAATATCAAATTCCTTACAGTGCTTTCTATTTATTGTTATTTTTTTTCTGATAGTTAGGTTTTTCAAAAATTATATTATAACTATATCCCCGTACCTCCTGAGCCATCAAATATACTTGAATTAGAATCAAAGCTCATTGTTATATTGAAATAATACTGAAGGACTTTAACTTGTTGAACAGACCAGAAAATTTGCTTCTCCAGCAAATGTTTCATAAGGTATATGCCTATTACTATTTCTGCGTACTTTAATCGTATACTCTTGTATGTATGTATGTATGTATATATGTTTTTACACATACAAACACACATAAATATTCATACACAAGTTTGTTTTCTGTGTGTATAAAACTGTAAATGGACTTGAATTTGCAAATTTTTTCGAATATTTCATAGCATTTCTAATATATTCAAATTCATCAGAAATGCTATAATAATTTTTATTCAAATTTTTAAATAACAACACATGATTACGTCTTGTAATAATGTTTTTATTCTATTATTTTTAAAATATTCTTTTTGAAAATAATCCAAATAATATAAGTAATATTCTCTTTGCCATAATTAGCAATAAAGTATTAAGAAAAGTTCTATGATTAATTTTTAATACAATTAAAATATTATAAATTGATATACTTTTGTTATTAACATTGTTATTATAGAATTATCCTTTTTTTTCTTTATATGACGTGTTCAAAGCTGAATCGAGCGGAGACGTCATTCTTGATGTCACATGACCGGAATCGATACAGTTTAATCTCCAAAACGATCAGCAAAATCGATCTCTCTCTATTTCATTTTGATTGTTTTTGTGTTTGTTTTCTTTATTACAGTAATTATCATAAATACAAATCTAAAGAAAGGTCAGCTATTACATAAAATTTGTTGCATATAAAATATCGCTTCCAAGATTTTATTTAATTTTTATGTCAAATTCTAAAGACATCTGTCAAAAATAACTTAAAATGCTTTAAATTCGTTTTTAAAAATATTTCAAAAGGTAAAAACTACATATTAGTTTATTTATATAATAAAATATATTATTTAACGTAAGAATTACTTTATTGAATTATCCGTGTATATTATCATTTTTAACACTTGAAAAACAAAGCAGAGAAGTGATTTTTACACAAATCACAACTAATTTAACATTGATAAATGAATCATGCAAAACAAAAATAAAAGGAATTTACGGGAATTTATTATTCCAGCTTATCTATTCTTCTTAAATAGTAATATAAATGGATGTTTTTGCAAAACATTGGCTATTGAAGATGTTTTCTCTTTCGTTATCCATCTTTCTTTGCACAACCCACATGTGTCACAACCCGTGATGGATGAAGAACTTATTATCTTCATCCATGTCTCATAAAGAGTGAAAACTCTTCTATTGACTCAACTATATAATTTGTTTCTTTATTCTTTCTAAACATTAAACTGTTGATATAATGTTATTGATTGGATTAATTATGTCGAATGTCTAAATATTTGTACACTGTTACCTTGAACTTTTCAACAACTTCTAATTCTAATATATATATGTATATTCATTAATAAATTGCAGAGGAGTAAATTTACACTTAGAAACTATTTAAGTATAAATTTACTATACTACAGATAAATAATGTCCTTAAAAAGAAAATAAATTAAATTTGACAAAAAAATATTCCAATTTATTGTCGTTAATCCGGAATCAGCGGAGAGACACTCAGACGAAACACATTGTATTGATCAAGGTATCTTCGTTTAATCAAGTAATTAATGTACAAATGAGTCTTTACATAACAGTAGGATGAACGTCCGTACATGTCGACAGATAGTAGTCCGAACAAAGGAACAAGTGAAGACAAAGGGTCATAAAACGTTTTTCTTTTGTTATTGGGAAGGTCCCTCTAGTGGGTCAAATTGGTTTGCGTCGAGAGTACCGACATTTATGTCTTCCAATGATAATATATCGATGTGGCGTAAAGTTAAGAATAGTGACTTTTAGATTTGAAAAAAATAACCCGTTAATTGAATTACATATAAAAAGCAATTTAAAATTAATAGGGTGTTAATTTTTACGTATGATATACTGACCGTAAATTTAGTCCGTTAAATCGAGGTTTTTACTGTAATTCATTTTATTTATTCATTTATTGAATTTATTTTAAATTTCTATATGTCTAATAGAGTTTTATTTTTAATTNATAATTAATTTGCTTATTCTCTCGTAAAGAAGACATGCAAACGTTTCAGATTAATGATTCGAACTAGATACATTTTACTATATTATAAAATGGGTTTCAATATTAAATTTTGTTTCCCTGAAGTAAGTTTCGGGTTCTAAACAAATTATTTTTCCAGTAGAATTGTTTACATTTTCTTCTGTAAATTATCGTATAATTGCTTCTGATGTAATATGCGTTTAAAAACAACGTTAACCGTACATAGTAATAATGTTAAAATTTATTAAGTTTAAGAGCTTCGACAACGTCAAAATTAAAATGATCTTCCTCTTGTTTAAACTTAATTAATAGTAATTAAGCAATCGTGACGGCTATTACAAAGAACTGTCAACCACAAGTTCTTTATATGACATGTCCAAATTGCTTTCCTTCCAATTGATCTCAATTGAATAGAAGAATCAATTGTGTGGTCCGAATTATATATCAAGGATTCATTTTCAATATATATCGATTATTTCAATGAAATTTAAACATAGAAAACTTGTCGAGTAATGGTTATATTTATTAATAAAAATTTAATTTCATAATTGCATATAATAGAGAAGCCTATATTTGATATTGATTGATTTAAATTAAAAACTTCCTTAAAACATAATTTTATCGCTAATTATGTAATTCGAGAGAATGTCTTTAATTGTCTTATCATTACTCTCAGTTCTTGACAAAGTTGCAATTAATTAACTAATTTTTTTAATCACCTGAACCTGGCTAATACTTATAAAGGAAAGGGTGCATTAGTATACATTAAAAATATGGAACCCCTAGCCCACAATATGCAAGTGCCTCCAAACTAATAGCGTCATTTTTGCATCGAATAATTCTATTTTATAATTTTTATTCTGCAATAATTGTATTTTCGATATAGAAAAGCGGGCAAAGGACCCATCATTAGTAAATTATTCGTGCAAAATGCATTTATATATTTATACTACTCAACTGACATGTCTTATTTTATTTTATTCTTTTATTACTATTATTATTATTTACAATTTTTGCGCCTCTAGGCCCGGGTCTACTGAACCTAATGAGAAATCCGTCAGTGATATAGATACTAAAGTTGTGGAAAATTTCCCGTCTGACCTCAATTCCGTTCTATCAGACTGTACTGTACCTAATGATGATTCTATCATTCCTCATTTTTCTTCTAGAATTTCTGTCTAGTCGTTAGTTTATGCTCTAAGGCAAGATACAGTTAGATATTTGATTTTTATATGTGAATATATCATTTAAATATTTCATTATTGAACCCTTCCAAAAATGATTCGCGTTTAATAAATGGAAAAAAAAAAACATTTTTAAATCAACTAAACTATTCCTTATCTAAAATTGATCTGTTAATGTCCGTAAATAACTATTCAATTAATTTTTTAAATCATTAATGTCTATAATTCGTATATAATTTATTACCTGACTGCTACTTTCGGATATAATTAATATATTCATTTTTAATAAAATTTTAAATTGTTATTAGAGTTATAAATTGTTGATGAAGATTTATCTTACTGAAATTTATTTTAGTTCAGCGAAATATGTAAAAAAAAAAATAATAAAAAAATCTAAATTAAATTTAATGTACCACAGATTAAACTTATTTAATTGACATGATTTAGTTAATATCGCTGAATAATATTCATTAAATTATGTAGCCTATTCAATTATATAATCATATAAATAATAATAAAATTCAATAGCGATAAGTAAATACGTTAATAATTAATGGAAAATGAGGGGAAAAACACATTTTATAAATTTAAAGAGTGATTTTGGTCGATAAGAGCACCAAAATCAGAGAAATGCGAATTAGTCCAACTCGTAACTTTCTCCTTTATCGCAGATGACAGCAAAAATGAAAGCTTGGAAATGATCCAAGCTTTCTAAAAATCAATCCTTACCTGAATTACTTACATGTATAAAGCCAATATTGTACGAAATATTTTTATCTTGGAATAGAAGCTCTTACTTTTCCTTGATAAAATTATACGTCTAAAGAAAATTTTACTTTTTTTTTTCAAATTAATTTAAATTTTATATTTTCTAGGGCTTAATAATTTAAAACTTCGACAAATATTCGTAACAAAGTAAAAAAAAATTTGAGCAATGAATTTTTTTTTTTTTTTTTTTTGTGTGTTAAAACTTCTTATTCTCCGACTGAAGTGATTAATAAGATTCTGCTTGAGAAAATATAAAAAACAAATAGAGAGAACATTTTATTAAGATTGTATTTTATATCTCTTTACATGAATGTTTGAAATTTGAAATATGAAGTAACATATTAAAAAAAATTTAGGATTCAATACAAAAAAAGGACAAATAAAATGAAAATTTCGCTTATGAATAACTCATAAATATTAGAGTATGAATATTTTAAAATTATATTTTGTCTGACGGATAAAAAATTGCTATTGGAACGTCATAGACATATATATATATATATATTTAAAATAGTTTCTCTCTAACATCTGCAACAATAATATTTACGAACTTACCTCGTTTTGTAGATTGGGAGACGGAAGATTTAGATAGGCTGGACCTTCTTTGCCGTCTCTAGTGGCAAGACCTATAAGAAATATATAAGATTAATATTTTACTTGCTACTAATTTATTTCTTTTTAAAATTTTTTAAAATTAAAAATATAATTTTATTTAAAGAATTTAAGATATTTTATTTTATTACAAGTATCATAAGTAAACAAACAAATTCTATGTAATACGATGTTAATATTACTACATTAAATATTTGTTTGCGAATTCAATTGAGTTGTTATAAGTTTATCTTTGTACGAAGCACGTTATTAAATGATAAGAATAACTTATGGATAGATTTTATGCACTTTTAATTATTACAGGCAAGTTTGTTTCGTTTATTTAATGAAGAAAATTATCTGAAAAATTAATTTGCGATTTTTAAAATAAATTTTTGTTATGAAGTGACGCGATAATTTATAATAATCATAAAAATAAATTTTATCACTGTTATAAATTCTTATATTATCCTCTCTTGACAGCTAGCGAGTATCTGTTTATTTATTTAAGTATTTAATGTATAAATATCAATTTAGTCTGTTTAATTTTATAAATTACTTTAATATTCTTAAATGACGACATATAAATTTTTAATGTATTAAATAAATCGAATCAGAACTTAAGTGTGATAGATAAAAATTTTACGTAGATAAAAAATTAACTACAAATAATAGTAATATATATAGGCCTATATAATCAGCTACAAAACAATAATTTTTAATTGTATAAAGAAAAATGTGTAGCAACATATTACTTAAGCTGAATTATTGTTTTAATCGATTTATCCTGGTGGGTTTTAATAGTTATTACTAGAAAGCAAATGCCTTTGATGATTGTTTAAAAGTAAAACGACATAAACATGTTCGATTTTATTATATTGTTTATAAATTCAACATTCATTGCATACTTAAAAGATTTTACTACTTTAAAAAATATTATTATTACAAAAATGTTATGCAATAAATAGGAATACTTTCCTTATTTTCAACAATTTATTTATTTATTTTGATTTTTAATACAAGTAATTATAGGAGATTCTTAAAGCTAAATAATATACTTTTCCTTAATTCTATATATATATAGAATTAAGGAAAAGTACATTATTTTCAAATAATTCTGTTAATATTTCCCAAATTATTTTCATAAAAATTTAATATTAAACAATGCATCGTTTTAATTTACTTAATTTCATTTTATTTAATAATCTAGCATAAAATCACTATTTTAAAAGTTTAAATTATACTATTTCTTCCCTCTAAATATTATTATTTTAAAAGTGATATATAGATCTATATTTACTTTTATTCTAACTTAATCTAAATTCTTCAATATATTATTCTTTCCAATAAATAACTTTTTATTCGCAAAATTATGTATTAGTTCAATAGGTCTATCCATTGTTTCGAACAATTTATTTATCTTCAAATATATTTTGTTTAGTTTATTGTAAAATATTGAGAAGTAAATCGTAATACATCAAAACAAATTTATTTTTAAATTTAAAATATTAATCTCAATCGAACTATTCCTAGATTTATTATCATGAAACAGATCAAGTGCTTAAGTTTATATATTATTTTCCTTATTGTAATTTTTCTATAAATTATAAATGAAAATGATCTCGAGTTTTACTATAAACTGTAACGTTTCGGAAAAACTAATTATTATTAAAATTAAAATTTACGTAACATTGACATAAGATTTAAGTAATAATCTAATAATAGAAGTGAAATTCAAGACAATAGAAAAAGTATATATACAACAGGGTGGCCCAAAAATATGGTAACCGAAGTTTATTGTTAATGTAAGTGTCGTGTAATGAAGCAGCAATGTGTGTAATCGAAATCTCACGATAGCAGACATATAGAGCATGTATTTTTCTATCGATAAACTTAGATATTACTTGTTAGTAAAGTATACATTGTATTGCTCACTTGTGTTTTGATTACTTTTGTGTTGGACTATCTTAGACAATTCTATTTTTAACTTCTGTAATATAGCTTGGTGAAGAACATATTCTCGAGAAAAATATAATAAAAAATAAATAAATTTAAAATATTATCTTCGATCATGTATTTAATAAATATTTTCATTTAAATGAAAATATTTATTAGAAAGCTTAAAAAAATCAAAATTTTATAAAATTTTAGATGTTGTAATATAATTGAAGATCTTAGGGAAAGAACATGTTAACTCATTTTTTCAAGTTTCAGGGAAAAATCAATCTGTATTTTAGGACAATAATATCAGAGGTTGATGGTCTAGTCCAGCGTTTCTCAAGCTTTTTGCTTTCATGGCCAAATATATTTGTTTATAAAGGTTTGTAAAGGTGAAATGTAACATCGAGTACATTTCTATTAAGAGCGGTTCAGGCCAATTTCGATTTGTAACAAATAACTTACTTCAATTTTAGTTTCTATTATTGAAATTTAACTATTAATAAATGTAAGACTGACGATTGTGAATAAAACAGATTGTTTCAAAATTATTCAGGAGTCTATTTTTATTTGAAAAGTATTACAAGTTTTTTTTTTAATAAACTCAATGAACATATTTTAAAACTGTATTTTTCAGGTTGTAAGAGGATTTTATCAATTTCATTTTCTGTATAGACTCAAAAATAATTCTTTAATAATTATTTAATGATTTACTTGTGATAAAATTCATCCGTTATTTATTTTTTATAATTTATTGTTATGTGTAAAAATAAACCTAAAAGTTTGAATAAAAAAGGAAATATTTTCAAAACCATTGCAACTTAAATGAATGCAATCTTACATAAAATATCAATTTTGATGTTATTCAAAATAGAAAAGAGAAATCAATTTCATATATACGCATTCTATAATCTAACTTTTATTACTAAATGACAAAAATAATTATAAGAAAAAAGTAATTAAAAATTTTCAGTACTCAACAGATGCATCTATTGTTCCTAGTTCTTATTGAATATTTCAGTATTACAAATATTTTGAGTATTTCTGCGGAAGGTTGTATCATTTCGCAACCCATTAAATGCATATTTAACGCAACCCAATATTGAATCGCGACCCATAGTTTGAGAAAAGTTGTCTAGTCTATGAAAAGCTATGGGTCATGAATGTGAAAATTATATCTGCTCTATATTTGTAGAAATTCAACAACGTTCAACAAAGAAACTGAGTTAACACCTTTTTGCCCCAAGGTCTTCAATTATTAATAGAAAAATCGAAAATTTCAAAATTTTATGTTTGATAATGTTCCAAGAATATGGTCGTAAATCAAATTTTCGTTCTTAAATCAATAATAGTTCATTATAAATATTAAATTCGTAAATCAGAATATTTTACAAATTATTCATTTGGTTAGTATACCTTTATCTTTAACAATTATTGAATGTATTAGTATTTTAGAGTAATTTTCGGAAGATTAATTTAAAATAACGATAACCTATAACTGTCTACTTTAAGTAGGCGATGTTAACGATTAATTTTCGAACGATTGATTTTATTCTGCACTAGAAACTATCTCCATTGGGAATTAATAGATACATGCTATAGAAACAAAGTCTTTAAAGATAAATTCTGCTGAAAAATAATGTAATATTAATATATATTATTTATCTAAATACAGTATAATAGAAGGAAATTTACATTTGATAAATTTAATTACTATCACAATTAAAAGCTACATTAATTTTTAATACGTAAAGGATTTACACCATTACTACAATGCTTTTAATACAATTTTACTCAAAGAAAATATTAAAAATGAAGATAATACCAACAAAACAATTATTATTAAGCAGTAGTAAAGTATTAATTTTTTTTCTTGCATATTAATTAAATATCAGGGTTTTAATTAAAAAAAATAATTTAATCTGTCAAGCTTCCGGTCAAGGATTAATTTTTCGTTTTCTTTAAATGAATTGATAATATAAATTAATATTCTGTAGCATTTTCTATTGTAATTATTTAAAAGTTTAATTTTATGTATTTTTCCCACTTTTATATAATCTCTTCCCGATTTAAAATTTAAATATTCAATTAAATATTCCGATAGAAATTTCTAAATTCACAAGATTTAAAATATAATTCAGTATAAAAAAATTATTTCTAATTTCTTGGGGATCGACCTATTATTAACGCTTAAAACGTTATAATTAATAAAAGTTATGACTTTTATTAAATATATGACGTTTTAAAATAAATTAAAATGCGAATGTTGTTCACACATAAAATTTTCTCTTTTTCCTTGCACTGAAGACAACGCTTGACTTATTTTTTTCTTTATAAATTACAATATTAAAAAAAGAACTAGCTGATTAATTAATAATATTCCCATTGTAAACTATTTTAAATATTATATTTGAATCTTTTAAAATTAAGAAATTTTAATTATTTCGCTCACGAAATACTGTTAAAGTCAAATATCAATTTTTCTATATAAAAATTCTTTTTTTAAATATATTATTACCGTTCAAATTATTTAATTTATTTATTTCTCTGTGATACTTTGCATTATTCAAATTATTTACGTTAAAAAATCAGAGAATGAATATTTCAATTATTTTCAGGAAAATTTTCTTGCAGATAACGAAGATTTAGTATCGTAATTACATAAACAATTCTGGAAAACTTTATTTATACATAATTTAGACCAGTTGCATATATTTTAAATATAATTTACATAAATAAATCAATGAGAAATCATTTCTAATCTTACCATTTGAATAATTTAAAGTTTTAATAAAATTGAATTTGGAAAAATTTAACTCGTTCAAAAAGAATTGCATGTAAATTCTGTAGAGCGTGTTAAAGAAGGAAAAAAAAGTTTCTATTTCCTTAAAATAAATTTTAAAAAATAAACATTAATTTAAATTATTTTTATTCAATTTATATCAAAAGTTATAACTAAATAAAATTTTCATAAATTCGTAAAAAGTTAAAATTCCGAATAAAAGAAAAAATTTCGTCTTGAAAGTAAGATTTATAAAGCTTTTAATTTATTAATTATAAATAGGGCCTACTTTTAACTTATAAAATATTTTCTAAG